AAATGAATGATCATAAATTTTACTTTTTATTTTGTAGATCTAAATCTTAATTGTTACTAGTTGTGTACCGGTAATGGCTCTTTTTATTGATTTTAAATAGCAATAACATATTTAGAGATTGATAAAAAAAAAAAACAATGTTTTAATATGCAAGATCAAGACTCGGTGACATGAGTTGGCAGTAGAGCTTTGAAACCATGTTCTTCCTGCATCGGTTAAGATTTTGATTCTCAAAGTTGTCAAACAAAATTTGAGCATCTTGCATATTATCATACTTTGCGAACATATCTAGCGTCGCCGCCGTTCTGACTAAACCATCTGCTGCAAAATCTGACTTTAAGGCATGAGCATGCAACTGAACACCTTGCATATGTTCTTACTTGTCAAACAAAGTAACACATCTTCTTTCTTCTCGTCGTAGATGCTTCACATCATAGCTCCTGCAATCAAGTTTTCGAATTCAATACTCATATAGCTATGAGCTACTTTGAACAATGGCTTCGCCATTAACTGAACCCATCTTCTTCATTCAATTAATCCACTCTGTTCCGGTTCAGAAAAGTGCTTCAATTTGCTTTGCTCAATTTTGCATAGATGAAGCTAAAAGCTGAATCCTTAATCAGAGCAACCAAATCACTATTAGGGATTTGGGATCACTAGTGTGTTGTGACAAGAGATTTAACAGTCCATGAACAGCTATTCAACATCCTCCATTTGTATCTTTACCAAAGCTTCAGAAGATATACAACATCCTCCAATTGTCTCGGTTCTCTACCATTCAATTCATATCCTGCATAGCCTCTGACAACATCAGTTTCATCAAGAACGAAACAAGTAAATCCCAGAAGCGGAATATGAAGAGTGTATCTGAAGATGCTTGAGGAGATACTCGTGCTTCACTAAGAGGTCCATAACACGCTTGAGATGCTGATTACAAGCATCAACAACCTCCCTAATCATTCAAACCAAAAACACAGAGATAAGCATCAGATTCAATATCTGGTTTCTTGAGATGAGATAGTTAAAAGGAAAACAAACCCAATGGTGGTGATAAAGCTAGTGGTAAAGGAATCATCAGAGAACCTTAAAACCAAACAACTTTGACCCACATCTACATCAAGAACAATGTGAAGCCATACGTTACAGAGATCTAAAACACATTGTTACCTTTCTCTGAA